TACAAGGTCAATATTTAAAAATCAATAATGTTTCTACACATCAGAAACAAACTATTAGATACTGAAATTTTAAAATCTTACCTACAAGAACATAAAAAATATGAAATACTTGTGGATAAATTTAGCAAAGTATGGATAAGACCTGTATTGTGAAAACTATAAAACATTGGTGAGAGAAATCAAATATATTAATAAATGGAGAGTTTTAAATATGCTCATTAGTTAGAATTTGGTAAAAGAAGTCAATTTTTCTCAAATCGATTTATAGATTCAAATCAGTCCCATCAAAATCCCAGTAAGCTTTTTTGTAGGAAATGTCATTCTAAAATTTACATGGAAATGCAAATGACCTATAATAGTCAAAACAACTTTGAAAACGAACACAGCTGGAAGAAGAATTAAACTACCTGATTTCAAAAATTACAACAAAGCAGAAGTAAAGACAGTGTGTTATTGGAGTAAGGATAGACATTTAGATCAACAGAACAGAAAAGGGACCAGAAATAGACTAACACATACTTAGCAAACTAATTTTCAACAATGATACCCAGGAAATTCAATGAGGGAAAGCTAGTCTTTTCAATTAATTGTACTAAAATAATTGCTATCCACGTGCAAAAAATAAACCCAAATTCTTTTTTTTTTTTGAGACTCTGTCACCGAGGCTGGAGTGCAGTGGCACCATGTCGGCTCACTGCAACCTCCGTCTCCTGGATTCAAGCAATTCTCCTGCCTTAGCCTCCCGAGTAGCTGGGATTACAGGCACCCACCACCACACCAGGCTAGTTTTTATATTTTTAGTAGATATGAGGTTTCACCATGTTGGCCAGGCTGGTCTTGAACTCCTGACCTCAGGTGATCCACCCACCTTGGCCTCACAAAGTGCTGGGATTACAGGCATGAGCCACTGCGCCCGGCCAATAAACCCAAATTCTTAACTTTCGCTATATATTAAAATTAATTCAATGGTTCCAGAAGTAAATTGCCTAAGATCCATGGTTACATTCCATAATATCGTAATTTTTATCAATACCACATTGCTTTAATTGTGGGAAAGAAGGACCACTATATGAAATAAAAATAAAAAATATTAATATTAAATACTAAAAAAATTCATAATAAACTAGAGGCCTAAATATAAGAGCTGAAACCATAAAACTCTAGAAGAAAAGATTTTAAAAAATCTTTGCAGCCAGGCACAGTGGCTCATGCCTATAATCCCAACACTTTGGGAAGCTGAGGTGAAAGGATCGCCTGAGTCCAGGAGTTTGAGAACAGCCTAGGCAACATAGTGAGATCCTATCTCTACAAAAACTGTAACAAATTAGCCAGGCATGGTGGTGTGTGCCTACAGTCCCAGCTACTCAGAAGGCTGAGATGGGAGGACTACTTGAGCCTGGGAGGTCAAGGCTGCAGTGAGCTGTGATCACACCACTGTTCTCCAGCCTAGGTAACAGAGCAAGATTCTGACTCAAAAAAAAAAAAAAAATGACTTTGCAATCTTGGCATAGGTAAAAATTTCCTAAGTAGTATATGAAAAGGATAAATCATAAGAGAAAAAAATACTGCACTTCAAAATTTTTAACTTCTGCTCTTCAAAAGACACTAAGAAATGAAAAAATAAGCTATAAACTGGTAGAAATATTCGAAAAACATGTTTCTGATAAAAGAGCTGTAACCAGAGTAAGAATTCTTAATTCAAATATAAGAAGGCAAACAACTCAAAAATGGTTAAAAGACATGAACAGACACTTCACCAATGAGACATACAAATGGCAAATACATGAAAAGATGCTCAACAATATTAGTCACTAAAGAAATGCAAATTCAAACCACCATGAGATAATACTACACACTTATTAGGATAGTTAAAATTAAAAAGACTGACAATAATAAGTGTTGGTGAGGATGTGGAACATGTGGAACCCTCATACATTATGAGAATGCAACTTGGGAAAACAGTTTTGCAGTTTCCTATAAAGTTAAACACAGACATGCCATATGACTCAGCGGTTCTTCTCTTGGACATTTAACAATGAAAAATAAAAACATGCCCAAAGGCTCGTATACAAATATTCAGTAGTGTTATTCATCACAGCTGAAAAAAATGAAAACAACCCCAGTGTCTATCAAAAGCTGAATGGATAAGCAAAATAAGTTTACCTATACAATGGAATACTCTTCATTAATGAAAAGGCATCAACTACAGATAACATGGAACAACAGAGATGAATCTCAAATTACACTGAATGGAAGAAGCCTGACTGAAAAGACTACATATCATATGATTCCATTACATGAATTCTAGAAAAGGCAAAACTACAGTGAGGTAATGCATATTAATAATGTTAATTAGCTAGCTTTAGTCATTTTACAATGTATATATACTTCAAAATAATGTTGCACACAGTGAATATATACAATTTTATCTGTCAAAAATATATATAAATAAAAATTATTAAAAAACGCAGAACTAGAGTGATAGAAAGCAGACCAATGGTTTCTAGGTGCTGAAGGTGGGCAGAGAAGCTCACTGCAAAGAGGCACAAGGAAACTGGGTTAATTGAAATGTTCTGTATCATGATTGTGGTGATGGTTACATGACTATATACATTAAACACATCAAATTGAACACTTAAAGACAGTGAATTTTATGTAAATTATACCTCAATAAAAGTGATTTGTAAAAATTTTTAAAAAGATTTTAAAAAATATTACAGTATTTAAGTTAAATATGTATAGTCATATGTCACTTAACAATGGGGATACATTCTAAGAAATGTGTCATTAGGTGATCTTGTCATTGTGTGACTATCATAGAGTATACTTATGCAAACCTCGATGGTACAGCCTACTACATACCTAGGCCATGTGGGTTAGCCTATTGTTCCCAGGCTACAAACCTGTACAACATGTTACTGTACTGAACACTGTAGGCAACTGTAACACTAACACAATGCTAAATATGTGTATATCTAAGCATAGAGAAGGTACAGTAAAAATTACACCTGTATAGGGCACTTACCATGAATGGAGCTTGAAAGGTGAAAATTGCTCTGGGTGAGTCAGTGAGTGAGTGGTGAGTGAATGTGATGGTCTAGGACATTACTGTACACTACTGTAGACTTTATAAACACTGTACACTCAATTAACTATCCTAAAAAGTATGTAGTGTTATCTCATGTCGGTTTTAATTTGCATTTCCTTAATGACTATTTTTATAAATAAATTTATTTAAAAAGTATCTTTCTTCAATCATAAATTAACCTTAGCTTACTGTAACATTTGTACTTTATAAACTTTAAAATTTTTAAAAAAACATTTGGACTGCTTTACAATAACTTAAAACATATACAATATTTTTTCTATTATTACATTGTTAAAATTGTATTTTAAAAACTTTTTGTTAAAAACTAAGACACAAACATGTACATTAGCCTATGCCTACAAGGGCCAGTATCACCCAGATGTCACAGGTGACAGGAATTTTTCAGCCCCCTTATAATCTAATGGGATCACTATCATATCTGTGGTCCTCTCTTGACTGATGTTGTAATAAGACACATGACTGTATATGCAACATGCACCAAATTGCAGAGTTATCCTTATATTTCTCAGTAACGGATATCTTAGAATTTGACAAACTTGGTTTTGTGACTACAGTGCAAAAATCATTCTATGTATGAGACAAAGACATTTCTATCCATTTGTTCACAATAGTTACCACTGGGGCAAAAAGATGGAGCAGAGAGACAGTATGGGGTGGTCTCCTATGCCTGCGGAAGCCAAACTGCTTTAATGTCACCATTCAGCAAAGACCCATGATATTGACAGGGAGAACTAGCTGTGCACTAGGTATCCCTCAAGTCTACCATTTGTAGTACTCATTAGCAGCTGAAGAAACCTTATCTCCTGCACCTGATCCAGACCCTGACAGTAGCAGATAAAGCAAAATAGTACAACTCATACCTCAGTTTTAAGTCACAAGGAACACAAAGATGACTTTGCAGGTCATCTCACGTTCAATGAGAAGGCTATATTTAAGCAGAAAGATGAATCATCACAATATATACATGTGAGCTCCTACCATATTATGACAGAACATGTAAGCGATCCAAAAAAATTAATGTCTTTTAAATGTATTTGACCTATTTGCTTATTGCTGGTTTTCCCTCACTAGAATGATGATATCCCATAATGAAAGGGATTTCTGTCTTCACTGTTCACTGCTATATCCCTCGCATCCCCTAAAATGCCTAGCATATACTAATTATTCACTAAATATTTGTTAAATTAATTATGCCCATGTAGATATTCAGTAAATATTTGTTGTATGAATTTAAGTCAATGTAGACATCATTCACAGCTAAATGACATAATAACTTTCCATTATACGTTCCTTTCTTGTACAATTTCTTTGTTTGGAAGTTACTAATTTTTTTTTCTTTCATTGGTTTCTATGTACCAAATAAAACCTAAACTTTCAACCAAGTTGATTCTTATTTTCTTTACATATTTCTTAATTCTAAAATTTCCTAAAGTGTATATATATTCAGAATAAAGAACACATGCATCATTATAAAACTAGAGTTTTATGGAGGACTCTTATCAATTAATAATAACACTTTTTTGTTTTCTTTATTTCTGCAAATCTATCCCTCTGCATATGCTGTTTTCCCTATCTGGAAAACCCTCCACACTTGTCTCTGTTAACCTAGCCTATCTTAACTCAATCTCCCTTACTACAGAATCCTTTATCATACTGGTTAATTTCAACCTTTTGATCCACTCTGACTCCTAACAAAATCCTAAACCCCTTTAGGGCAGGCAATATTCAGTATGTTTCTGTATTTCCCACATTTAGCACATTTGATAAATGCTTAATGTGTTGACCTTGATGAATTTCAGTGAGACTGAAGAAGCTTGAGGATACAAAAATTCATGTAAAGCTAAGAAGACAAAGATATATTTCCATGTTAAACTATTATGCATAAACCTACCAGTAGTGTCTGTCCTTGGAAAATGAAGAAATGACCTGATATAACTATGGTGAGAACAAGATACCCAGATTCTTCATTGGAATCAAAAACCTTGAAAAAGAGAAAGAGAAAAATATGTAAACTATAATACATTTCTATAATAACTGATAAACTTATAATACTGATAACCAAACTATTTTCTCACATTGATCTTTCTACCCTGAGCATTCTTTCCTTTTCCATTCATTTAATCTGTAACCCTTCCCTTACAACTTCAAGTTTCTCCATATATATAGGCTAACAGCCAGACTTTTAAAAAATTAAAAGCCAATATTTTGAAACAGAAAGAATATCAGATTAAGAATCAGGAGTTGTTGTGGGTCCTGAGCCAACCACTATTTAGTTACATTTTAATAAATCATTTATTCTCTCTGAGCTTCAGTATTATTTCTGTAAAATGAAGATAGTGCCTTACAGAGCTGCTGTAAGACTTCACAGTCCAATTTCTTCAGCCATGTAATCTATTTTTCTTTTTCTTTTTCTTTTTTTTTTTGAGACAGAGGTTCGCTCCTGTAGCCCAGGCTGGAGTGCAATGGTGTGATCTCGGCTCACAGCAACATCTGCCTCGTGTGTTCAAGCAATTCTCCTGCCTCAGCCTCCAGAGTAGCTGGGATTACAGGCATGTGTCACCATGCCTGGTTAATTTTTGTATTTTTAGTGGAGATGGGGTTTCACCATGTTGGTCATGCCGGTCTCAAACTCCTGTCTGCCCGCCTCAGTCTCCCAAAGTGCTGGGATTACAGGCATAAGCCATCGCACCTGGCCATCCATTTTTCATAACCCCTTAAACATCTGGTGCTTTCCTTTGGATGAGCTCTAGTTTGTCAGTGTCACTCTTAAAATATGGTGCCATAAACTTACCGTAATCCTCTTGGTGTAGTCTAATTATCTCCCATTACTTGCAATAGTGTTGCCTATAATCACATTAACCTTTTGAGGGGGTAGTACCACTGCAGAGTTTGATCTTAAATCCACATAACCTCCTGACACTTCATTACCTGTGTTGGTAAATCATATTTCCCTTTATTTATCCTGAACCTAAACATAAAACCTTGGATTAGCCCCATTATATTTTATCTTGTTAGATTGGATCTATAGTTCCAACCTATTGAGATGTAGTGAGGAACTGAAGCAATTAAATCAAAATGTCAGGGAGGACATGACTGATAGATACATTACAGTGGGATCTGGATCTTAAGTGACTACACTATACAGGTGGCTTTGATATCCTTAATAAACACCATAAGGTAAACCATCCTTATATAAACAATAAGATAAATTATAGACTCATCTTAATGCCCAAAGTTCAAAATAATTAGGACACACCTAATTCAACTTATATATGTTTTTATGAGGTTACTGCATTGTACTGAGAAATAATGCTCTTATAGTTTCATATGTGGGGTTTGGAGTTTTAATGCTATATTTAAATCCAAGATTTCCTACTGTGTTTTCTCTAATTCATTTTAAATTCCAAACTTAAAAAGTGAGTAACATTTTAGATGTCAAAGGGGATATGATAGACCTGCACTAATTCCTTCAGTGGTTGTAATTCTCCCTCTTTCCCAGTATTTGGAACTTGGTCAGTGGCACAACGCTCTTCCTATCACAGTTTAAATGAATTATCCTGTGTGTTTTATGACTAGTTAGAACCAGAGCATAGCTAGGAGTCAAGTACAGCTTTCACAACTAGAGTCTGGTCAATGAATTATTTGGAAGGCAATGTGTTAACATGATAGTTTAAAGTTTTAAGAAATGTGGCATATATAACAAAGAGCATCCAAAATATAAGTGTACAGCTCAATGAACGATGGCAAAGCAAACACATCACCCAAGTGAAGAAACAGAACATTACCAGATTTCCAGCAGGTCCTCTAGTGTTTGCTGTCTTAAAAGTTACTATCTGCAGACCTCTAGCAAGACTACTAAAGAAGAAAAGAGAGAAGAATCAAAGAGATGCAATAAAAAAATGATAAAGGGGATATCACCACCGACCCCACAGAAATACAAACTGCCATCAGCGAATACTATAAACACCTCTATGCAAATAAACTAGAAAACCTAGAAGAAATGGATAAATTCCTGGACACATACACCTTCCTGAGACTAAACCAGGAAGAAGGTGAATCCCTGGATAGACCAATAACAGGCTCTGAAATTGAGGCAATAATTAATAGCCTGCCAACCAAAAAAAGTCCAGGACCAGACGGATTCACAGCCAGATTCTACCAGAGGTACAAGGAGGAGCTGGTACCATTCCTTCTGAAATGATTCAAATCAATAGAAAAAGAGGAAATCCTCCTTAACTCGTTTTATGAGGCCAACATCATCCTGATACCAAAGGCTGGCAGAGACACACGCACACAAAAAAGAGAATTTTAGACCAATATCCCTGATGAACATCGATGCAAAAATCCTCAATAAAATACTGGCAAACCGAATCCAGCAGCACATCAAAAAAGCTTATCCGCCATGATCAAGTGGGCTTCATCCCTGGGATGCAAGGCTGGTTCAACATATGCAAATCAATAAACGTAATCCAGCATATAAACAGAACCAAAGACAAAACCACATGATTATCTCAATAGATGCAGAAAAGGCCTTTGACAAAATTCAACAGCCCTTCATGCTAAAAACTCTCAATAAATTTGGTATTGAAAGAATGTATCTCAAAATAATAAGAGCTATTTATGACAGACCCACAGCCAATATCATACTGAATGGGCAAAACCAGGAAGCATTCCCTTTGAAACCTGGCACAAGACAGGGATGCCCTCTCTCACCACTTCTGTTCAACACAGTGTTGGAAGTTTTGGCCAGGGCAATCAGGCAGGAGAAAGAAAGAAAGGGTATTCAATTAGGAAAAGAGGAAGTCAAATTGTCCCTGTTTGCAGATGACATGATTGTATATCTAGAAAACCCCATCGTCTCAGCCCAAAATCTCCCTAAGCTGATAAGCAACTTCAGCAAACTCTCAGGATACAAAATCAATGTGCAAAATTCACAAGCATTCTTATACACCAATAACAGACAAACAGAGAGCCAAATCATGAGTGAACTCCCATTCACAATTGCTTCAAAGAGAATAAAATGACTAGGAATACAACTTACAAAGGATGTGAAGGACCTCTTCAAGGATAACTACAAACCACTGCTCAATGAAATAAAAGAGGACACAAACAAATGGACGAACATTCCATGCTCATGGATAGGAAGACTCAATATCGTGAAAATGGCCATAGGTAATTTATAGATTCCCAAGGTAATTTATAGATTCAATGCCATCCCCATCAAGCTACCAATGACTTTCTTCACAGAATTTGAAAAAACTACTTTAAAGTTCATATGGAACCAAAAAAGAGCCTGCATTGCCAAGACAATCCTAAGCCAAAAGAACAAAGCTCGAGGCATCACACTACCTGACTTCAAACTATACTACAAGGCTACAGTAACCAAAACAGCATGGTACTGGTACCAAAACAGAGATATAGACCTATGGAACAGAACAGAGCCCTCGGAAATAATATCACACATCTACAACCATGTGATCTTTGCAAACCTAACAAAAACAAGAAATGGGGAAAGGATTCCCTATTTAATAAATGGTACTGGGAAAACTGGCTAGCCATGTATAGAAAGCTGAAACTGGATCCCTTCCATGCACCTTACACAAAAATTAATTCAAGATGGATTAGAGACTTAAATGTTAGACCTAAAACCATAAAAATCCTAGAAGAAAACCTAGGCAATACCATTCAGGACATAGGCATGGGCAAGGACTTCATATCTAAAACACCAGAAGCAATGGCAACAAAAGCCAAAATTGACAAATGGGATCTAATTAAACTAAAGAGCTGCTGCACAGCAAAAGAAACTACCATCAGAGTGAACAGGCAACCTACAGAATGGGAGAAAATTTTTGCAATCTAGTCATCTGACAAAGGGCTAATATCCAGAATCTACAAAGAACTCAAACAAATTTACAAGAAAAAAACAAAAAACCCCATCAAAAAGTGGGCGAAGGATATGAACAGACACTTCTCAAAAGAAGACATTTATGCAGCCAACAGACACATGAAAAAATGCTCATCGTCACTAGCCATCAGACAAATGTAAATCAAAACCACAATGAGATACCATCTCACACCAGTTAGAATGGCGATCATTAAAAAGTCAGGAAACAACAGGTGCTGGAGAGGATGTGGAGAAATAGCAACACTTTTACACTGTTGGTGGGACTGTAAACTAGTACAACCATTGTGGAAGACAGTGTGGCGATTCCTCAATAGAAATACCATCTGACCCAGCCATCCCATTACTGGGTATATACCCAAAGGATTATAAATCATGCTGCTACAAAGACACATGGACACATATGTTTATTGTGGCACTATTCACAATAGTAAAGACTTGGAACCAACCCAGATGTCCATCAGTGACAGACTGGATTAAGAAAATGTGGCACATATACATCACGGAATACTATGCAGCCATAAAAAAGGATAAGTTCATGTCCTTGTAGGTACATGGATGCAGCTGGAAACCATCATCCTCAGCAAACTATCGCAAGGACAAAAAAACCAAACACCACATGTTCTCACTCATAGGCGGGAACTGAACAATGAGAACACTTGGACACAGGAAGGGGAACATCACACACCAGGGCCTGTTATGGGGTGGGGGGAGGGGGGAGGGATAGCATTAGGAGATATACCTAATGTAAATAACGAGTTAATGGGTGCAGCACACCAACATGGCACATGTATACATATGTAACAAACCTGCATGTTGTGTACATGTACCCTAGAACTTAAAGTATAATTTTAAAAAATTAAAGAATGTAAAAAAAAAATCACTATCTGCTCCTTTTTCCCTTAAAATAATCTCCCATCCTGACTTCTAACACTATACTTTAGTTTTAATTATATGAGTGGAATCATAAAGAACTATTTGACATTTGGCTTCATCAATGTTGTTGAATGTGTATTCATTTTCATTATTCTTGAATACATTCTATGATGATACCATTTCTTTTTTTTGTTTGTTTGTTT